TGGATACCAACGGTGGAGCACTTGGTCGGCGACTTAACTACTCCCATGACCGTCAAAACGGTGACGTATAAAAACAGAAAAGTAGCGATAAACTCGGCAATCCCGGCTCTGTAAAACGACCAGGAAGTAAGCTCCGATGGCTCAAAGAACGGAGCCGGTGGTGGTTCTTGGTAATCCTTATCTGGTACCTGCGCCGCCGTCCCAATCGGTTGTCTCTCCCGGTACTTGTTAGCTCCCAAATGAACATCCTCTTCCTTTCCCTCCATTGTTGTTTCTTGATCACTGGAAAATTACGTTTGTAGTGAGTGTGGTGGTGGAGATCAGTGGTGGAGTGGTTATAAATAGGAATAAATTGTGGGGTATCAATGAGAAAAATGTGTGTATTTTATCGCCGTCCAGTGCATAACAATGGAAATGAAGTCGTTTTTTACTGCAAATTGACAGCGACGTCGCTTTGGTCGGCTACCTTCTCCATAAAAATAGAAAGCACTGACGTAGCTGGCGATACAGTGGCCAAACACGTGTCCAGAGAGACTGAGAGAGAAACGTTAACACTGTGTGTGATGATGACTCACACCGCCCCATCTCCAATGAGATATTGAAATGTTATTTATCATATGTTATCATGAAAGAATTAGAATCTTTTATTTTTGTTTTATATATTGATTGTATTCTCTTCCTGTATTGTGTATATATATCCGTAATATTTTGCTAAAAATCTGTATATGGATATATGTTCATACCAATTTGGATAACTAGGATAGTAAGATCAGCTTTTTTTAGTGACTTTCCTTGTAGGAATCTCAAATATTATAGTTAATTTGTTGGGTTGTTTACAATTTTGTGTTTGAGCATTTTCAAAATTGTCAAATTCGAGAAACAACAATTTATAGGTATTTTCTGTGGATTATAGTAATGTTTAATTAACACGAAGAAGCGTTAACTTCAACCACTATATTTTTTATAATATCCTATTTATGTAGCAATCGTTTGACGTTATATATAACAATATAAATACCAACCCCAAATTTAAACACAATGAAAACCCCCAAAAAACAATTCGGCATCCAAATTGCAATCGGACACGAAAATCATTCGGAATACAAATTAATCACAACTATCCTGAACTAAACCCCCCATCCATATTAGTTTTTAAATTACTGATGGCTGATCCATCACAGCAAAATATATATACAGCATCCATGATCGATCCATTCCCATATTCTCGATCCATGCACAGCAAAACAGTCATGTCATTCTCTGAATGAGCCACACCATATACACGTTATTCACCTGCTACAGTGATAGGGATCACATATACAAAACGGATGATGGAGTTTGATCATGGACAACAAAATTACCTCAATTTCATACCTAATTAAGCATTAGCAACAGTAAGCATCAAAATTTGTTGTGGATAAACCAACCGGTCTACAAAAAGCTAGAAAATAGAACTAATAGAAATTAAAACTAAAATGGATAAATATGGATTAAGCAACAATAGTAGAGTAATCTCAACGAATTATTATATATATATTAAAGTTGTGGAAGAAAGGAATAGTAAACTTGAGATACTTTGTCCAAGTTTGGTCCCTTGATTTATATATCCGGTCCCTGTACTTCTTTAATTAATTTATTCATGTCATTTTATTTGTGTTCCATTCAACTTCCCATTTTTTTGGCAGAATTGGTCCCTGTATTATTGTTGGAAGTTAG